GAGAGAGAGAGAGAGAGAGAGAGAGAGAGAGAGAGAGAGAGAGAGAGCGGATAGGGGTGAAATTCGTGGAAAGTTTCGTTCGTGATTCGAAACACCGCAGTTCTGATTCGCGCGAACTTGTATTCCCATAACGCAAGACACTGTACAAACCCGAAAATTGGAAGCATTCCACAGCAACTCGAGTCGGTACACGTTAACACTTCCCAGTCCGTCGGCGCATATTTGTGATCTGAATACTGTATCAGTTCCGACAACGACGCCCGAGTTCATCTCGAACATTATTTAAGTTTCCTACTTATCCTCGACCCGTAGTGCAAATACACAATTAAAATCTACACCAATTTGGCAGGTAATTCGGACAGAGACGTAATTTTATTGGTTTGAAACGTGCACGTACAACGTTACTAAACAAGTTTCTCGTTAGCAAATAAGTAGTTTTAAAGAGAGAGGAAAGTAGCATTTAGAGATTGAAATATAAATATAATACCAGATAAAATGTCAACTATACGTTTTGATCGAACAAAAATATTATGAATATAAGCGTATCAATGTTCAAACTAATAAAATCATATCTCTGTTTGATCTCCGTACCAAATTGAAGTTTATTTGACTTATATCATAAGCATTCTCTGCCTTTAAATCGAGATATACGCTACCACGGTTAAAGGTTTACTCGGTTATGTATTTCATTATGTATAGAAAAGTAAAGAGTAAATATACCGCGCATAACCGACCGTAAATTTGAGGCCATCCTTTAACGAACCGAATGCAAAGTGTTTCGTTAAAATTGAATTCTTCTCACGCGACATTGAAGAAATCTCTTTCTTACACTTAAAAATGCGACAGCATTTTATACAGTATTTCGTTATACTACACCCGCATGCTAGTCTCGACGTGCTAACCACCCCTAGCGTTTGCGACAGTCTATACTACTACAGGCACTTTTTTCATTAAGTTCTTAATGACATTTCTTAGTAATTCTTTCTTTCTAAAAATTTGCATATGTTATATGGAGCACAGAAATTTTGCTCTTTATGCAAGAAGGATTTCATTTTCATTTGTACGAAATACATTGTGTTGTATGTAGCTTATTAAAATGGTACCCAGCGTCTTGCTTACGCTTACGTAATCATCCTTAGCATTCATGAGAATTTACGCTACTTAAGGCACCTTTCCTATTACGAACTTAATTATATTTTTCGGTGTCTTTTTCTGTGTTAGCGAAACTCAAGTGTTTTACTTTCCACGTCAAAGAGGCAACATTTCATTTTCATTTGCACGAGAGATCTGATGTAATTCGTATTTTATGGAAGCGATACCGACCATTGCTTAATTTACGTTTGACCTTTTTATCGAATAAATCAGCGACAGAGAGGTATCTATGCTAACTCGATTTCACAATTAATTTTGTATATTTATGTATGAAAGTAAAATTAAGCTACAGAATTGCCCACAAAAGCCGAGAAGGTTATATGGCTGGAATTTTCTTTAACTTCACAATCTAAATTAATATTGTTACCCGCGCTCGAGTATAATCGACCGCACTAATTAAAAAGTTAAGTAACCACTCCTAGCACTAATAAGGATATAAGCTACTTTAGCCACTTTATCTGTCACCAATTTAATTACTTTCTATGATTATACTTTATTTTGAGGAATTAACCAATGTTTTAACAAACCTCGAAACTTTTTACATTAAAAAGAAAGACATATTACGTGTAAAATGTGTATTTCTCGTAGTTTATTAAAATGTTATCTATGCCTGGTTTCGTGAAATCCTATACTGCTGCAAGCATTGTTTTTATTAACAATTAAATCTGTCCTTTTGTTACTTCTTTCCTTCTCAGAATTCGTGAATATTTTATCGAGCTTAAAGGTTCTCCTTTTATCTTGAAAGAATAACTAGAAGCTACCCTTCTTATTCACGAGAATTTACTCTACTTTAGCCACTCCTTTCTATTAATAATATGTTTCTTTGGACCTTCTTCTTTTCTTAGAATTTCTTAATGTTTTATCATGGTTATTAATTCTACTTTTTATGTTGGAAAAAAAACATTCCGTCTTCATTTTTACTTGAAATACACGAGACAGTGCATATTTTATTAATGTGGAATCTTCGCCTTGCTTTTGTGTAACTAACCTCGTCGTTCATTCGAATTTACTCTATTTCAGGTACCCTTTCATTGAAAAGTGAAATATTTTTGTTCTTGTTTAAACAACTACCTTTGGCATTCAATTATTAATCAATCAACTTTTATTCCAATTTCTGAATGTTTCATTAAGCTGAAAAGTTTATTTCTCTATCTCGTAGAGTAACGATTTCATCTTCGCTTGTGCGAAATACGGGTCGCCTCACGTATGCGATTAAAAATGTACTCCGTGTCTCGATTTCGTTTAATTAACCAACTCCAGCATTTACGAGAGTCCAACGCGGCGCCGGGAGCCCTCTCTATTAACTTTCTAATTACATCTTCAAGTACCTCCACGCTTCTTAAATTTGCAAAACGCTCTTCCGAACGTTCTGTGCCACGTATAGACTGCACCGCTTGCGCTGTATTGCTTAATCTCGTACCTTTGTCGCGTTGCTTATCAGAGACAAAAGGCGATGCCCGAAGAACTTAATGGCGTCATAAAGCAATCATTAAAGCAGTATCCCCGCAGTCAGCTAAACAGCAATTACATAATAGGTGGATCCCGGTGCAGAGATGGTAATTTTCGCTATTTGTTCGGCACGGTTCGTTCCTCCCCTACACCCTCGCCGCTCCTCGTTCGTCGTTTTCTTTGCTCTCTCCATTCAAGACGGAACAATGAAGGAAGATGGCCTCGAATTTACGGGCCAGCCAGTGTATTTACCCGCGCCAACAACATAAACGTTGCCATTGCTCGCAACCCGCGCTGCGGAACTCTATCTTTAATCCACCTCAGGCTTTGTGATCCCGCTGGGTTTTAGCTTTCGCGCCATTTGGCCTCGCAATTTGTCATTCTACGTCCGATAAATTAATGAGCAACGCTGACGGCGCTGCCAGAGTGGCATGGCGTTGATGCCTCCCGCTTCTATGTTTCGCGTCTCCAAAGGTGAGCGGCTGGTTTTAGTATCGCGACGAGGAATGAAAAAGCGCGGAAGGAGGTTGACAGAATAAAACCAGCCGGTTAACCTAATTCCCCTTCACCTAAAACACCTAATTCCCGTTCGTTCCGTCGCGTGTACCCGCAGTATTATCTTCGGCTCGGTCCACAGCGATTCGCGTAAGCCCTTAAGTCCACCAGGGCCGTGGCTGGTATTAATTCGCAGTTCGAAACTGCGAGCCAACGGCGGTCAGAGACTTCTCCAGGCGATGTTTCTCCAGCGCGTAAAGTTCCGTCTGTCCCGTTAATAAACACCGTTACCCTTACCAACGACGTTCATGGTGGCGGAAACTATGGCCGTGTGGAACGATGGCGCGTCCGCCGACACCTCGCAGCTGTACTCCCCGGCAGCGTTCAGCTCCAAATTCGTCAGGCTGACTTGCGTCGCGTTGCTCTCGGGTTTCTGCAACAGAATGACACGCGATCGTTGATAGACGAGGAGGTGTAGAAATTATTTCTTTTCGCTCGTTCTTTCTTTCTAGAGCTTCGCGGTTGAAGCTTCTGTTATATTTTTTTTTTTTTTTTTTTTTTTTTTTTTTTTGTAATTCGATAAACGCCTAAATGGAATCTGATTTCAGACGTTAGATGAAAGTTGCTTTGTTTGCGTTGCTATCGTGAAAGATTTGGAATTTTTGTTTACATTTAAGGTGATTTATTGCGCGTGGATCTGCAAGCTAGAAATAGAGCTTGTTCGCAACTCGTTTGCGGAGCGCATGCTAAATTTTAGAAAATTGATTTTTAAAACTCCAATAAAACTCGTTATTTGTTCACGTACACGATATCTAGGCTTCCTACAATAAAAAAAAAAAGTTCCGACCAATTTCTAGTTGGATCGACGAAAAGGGGGGAAATGCTGATGCTTGGTCATAAATGGACCAAGAATACTTGGAACCCTTGGACTCTATGGCTTAGAGTAACGAAAATGGGATCTGAACGTTATCTCGTAAGTGATTCACCGAATGTGTGCCTTCGATATTCGTTTTCCTTGAATAAACTTCCTAAACACTCGTCGTTACGAGTCACTCTTCGGATGCATCATTAATTATGAAAACAACCTAAATTATTCAGGGTACCGAAACGCCTACATCCGTACCAGATTTCCATACACTTCCTCAACCATAAATAAATTCCACGCGATAAAAACAAACATCCAATGAAAAGAACATAATCATCTTGTAGAGAAACGTTAAGTTAATAGAGAGATTTCGATATCCACTCCTTGAAGACCATTTTTCGATCGATTCTCATTCAAACTTTCGTCTGAACCATTCGCGCCTCGCTACCGACACCACACTGTAAACATTCGCTCTCTTTCAAATCCTCTTCTCGCATCTACGACTACGGCATCAGAATACTCGCAGAGAGCCCAAGCACCTCCGAACAAAGCATTACAAACTCGCTATCGTAAAGCCTGTCGCGCACGGGACAAAATAGATTTTCCTGTTCAGGACTCCCATCCCCAAACGGAAGTGATCTTCCTCCATCGCAGTACAGTGTCAACGCAGACCTGGACGTCTTCCGATCGACGCTCTCCTCGAATTGTTCGCCAACCAGAAATTTATGACGCTAGGCGACCATAGAGACCCTCACTCGCAAAAAAAAAAAAAAAGAGGACCATCGACGTCGAAGTATCGCGGGGAACATCGATCAATCGACCGGAAGACAAAGGCCAGCCTGCTCGCATTGTTCTCGCTAGCTGGGCGAGCAGCGTCGAACGGTTGAATAATCCGCCGGCGCTCCGAAGACGGTAACTGGACCGAGCCGGTGTTCGCCTCTTCGCGATATCGATTCGGAATGACGGCGTGTCATTCGCCCCCGCAGCGAACAAACCCCTGTGCGAATAGGGGGAGAGCTTCACGCTCGCGGAACACACAGGCCACGAACGCGGTTTACGAGCGACATTACGCTCCGTAACGGCGCGTCCCCGTCGACCGTTGGCGCAGAATTTCGCGACGCGTCGCGATTTATTCGCGCGTCCCCAGTTGCCTGAGCCCCCTCGCCCGCTCGCCCCCACCCCTCTCTTCGTCGACACCGATGTGTGTACCCCCTTTCTCGCCCCCCGCGAGAAATTCTGTCGCTCGCAACTGGCCGATAGCGCCGCGAGACCGCAACCCGCAGGCCAACCAGGGTCGAGCGACCGACACTGCCACCCGCCCGCCGAGGATTTAGTATGAATTCTTTCCTGTGATTTACTAGTAATAGTTCGCGGCAAACGAGGTATTAATAATATACAAATGGAGAGAGAGGCTGTAGACTAGTGTCGACACGGTGAGCGGACGCGATCGCGCGTGTTTTCGGGCTTTGGAAAGTAATTCGAATTAGTTGGGGGAACCAGTTTTCGGGGGAAGCTGCACCGATGAACTTCGGTGGATTGAATCTGTTTTTTTTTTTTTTTTTTTTTTTTTTTTTTTTTTTTGTAGTTTGTGTTATTTTTGGTTTCCATGACGAACAGAATAATACTCTAAATGGTACGGGTTAAAATAAGACGGCTCGATTGACAACTAAACTAATTAGGAATCGATGAACTCGTATCAAACGTGACTTCCGCTAGAATAATTGCACTCCTCGCTAAAGATTGACGAGATTGAGTTAATCGTGACCTTATTCGCAAAAAGAAAATGATTGAATTGAATAGAAATTCTGGTTTCCATCCGTCAGAATCTCGTGAAATATTATAGAATCAATTCGTGAGAAGAATTAAAAAATCGACAAAACAGGGATACTACGAGGGGATTAAATGTGATTTACAAGTTTTGTGCTCTATTTTTGTGTTAGAAAAAGAAGAAGAAAAGTTGCCAGCATACGAGGACAATTCCGCGACGTTTCGCGGTTTAATCGCGCGTCCCACTCACCCGCCGAAATCTTCTTTGTCGGGTCCTGGGAGAAATTTTGTCGCTTTCACTGGCCAAGAGCGTCGCGAGATCGCAGCCCAGGGCACGGGCAAACGCGACATCGCTCCGCTGTTCGCGAGGATTTAGTAAGCACGGCGAAAAAGCAATTTCGCTCGGTTCTTTGTAATTTTACAACGCGCTATTAGCGCGGAGTAACGAGACACTCGCATGTTGAACGGAGGATTACGTAAAGCCTCGCGGGGAAGTGATGGCCGTTTGAAACTTTCGGTGCCCCGGAACTCCCGTTTTCAGGAAGAATTTTGCGCAAAACGCGATGGCGGATCGTGCCCGTGTTGCATCGAACGCGGGTACAAACTATTTCCGTATCTACGAGAATTGCCGGCGTCCATACGAGGCGTGCTGCGCTCTGAAACGTTTTTGAGATAGTTTCATACGTCGACGTAATTCAATTTTTGTTGATCATTGATCGTACTGTCTGCCTCTATCGCCGTTGGGGAACCGTGAAAATTCGGCGGAAAATCGACGTATGGAAGATAGCTTCTCTCGCAAGATAAAGAATTACAACCACTGAATTGCGAGAATTGGCCATACTACTATGACGTATCCTGTTTATCAGATGAATTGGTTCGTTCGTGGATGTGACTTTGATGAATAGACTTCGATCATCATTTTGTAGATTCTCACTCACCATTCTTTTTTTAAATTCCACCCAGACTGTTTTAAATTAAAACAATTACTTCGCGACTCTATTTCAGATGCCTAGGATGCGAATACGTTATACACGCGAACTTTAACGGTCGACGCAACAAATTTGAAAGCAGCAAGAAAGAAGCTCTTTAATTCTTGAGTCTTCGATCAGGATTCTACAGAACACGTTTTCTCATAGCAAATGCTGATAACAATGACAGTTCGTTCGAACGAAGTACTATCCAAGACTGACAATGAGACTGTAAGAATCTATAACAGACCGTATCCGTTCCGAGATCACCTAATAATTCACGAGACGTCAGCCATTCTACGAGCAGATATAGTCATATAAAGAACTATTCACCTACAAACTAAGGAGCTCAATATATCTGAGCCCATTACCTCCCGGGCATACGTCTATTAAGCCATTTCTCTTTCTTCCAATATGCTCTATCCATCCCAACAGCTTGCACCTGTAGCTCAATTACATCAGGGATGGGTGGAATTTCGCTTGAATAAAAGATGACGAATAAAAGTAACGCGTAACGATTTATATTTGACGTTCACTCTATCGCACACTTGTTCGAATAAGTTTTTGTTCGACTACGTGAGATATGATATAATGATCTCTTTTGTTCTTTTCCTTTTCAGGTAACTAGATCGCGTGTTTCTCGATAGGTTTACAATCCGTAGCAGATCACATATAATCTGACGGAAACATTGTATTAATAAAAATAATAAATTATCAATGAACAGAGATCTCGCGTTATTCTCGCATCGAATGCAAACGAGTTAATTTAAGTAAATGGTTATTTATCTCTCAAATCACTGGTGTACTCCCTCGGGTTATGCGGACAAGCATAATGGATTGCATCGTCAACGCCACAAGAACGCAAATGTGTCCCAAGGTGTCGATCGAAGTCAGTCGATTATGTTACCCTCGAAATACCTTCGAACAATTATAACGCTATCCAACTGGAAACGCTGAGCCAACGAGCAGCGGAACGACAGCGAGTCTCCGTCATAAAGCAAATATTGAACGGTCGCTTCAGCCTCGTTACGCCTGTCTGCCACTAAAAGTAACGAGTCAAGTGGTTTCGGTACATCTGGCTAACCCAGAGATGGGCAAAATTCTTATCTAAAACAAACGTTCCGAGTAACGAACAAAAGATAAACTTGACAAAATAATACTAGAATATTTTCTTGAGAATTATTCTGAAGAGGTTCCAAATATGATTCTGGTACCAACCAAAACTTTAATTCTAACAATTTTAATTCAAGCAAACATTTCAATTGTAAGTTTAAATCTAAGTTCGAGTCTTATTCTTAGTTCCAAGTTTCCAATCTAGTCAGACTTGTACTAACGGAATGAAATTTCTCGCAACGACCAAATTCGCTCGAATAAATGTCACCGATATAGATTCCCCATACATAGGTACGTTGCTTTCATCGTGATCTAACAGTCGAATAAAATTTCCCCTACGTCAAACGCGACTCTCCCTCGTCGACAAATTTTCGTTTCAACCCTCGACGTTGCACGGGCGACTATCCTCGACGCGATAACCGGTGGTGTTTTCGATATCGTCGCAGATAATCGCAGGGATATAATAGAATCGTCGCGATAATAGATTCGTCGATGTCTCGTCGACATGGCTGGGCGCGAACAATTCGTTTTCCCCCTAAATGCGACACCGCTCCTCGTAAAAATGCCAGCTGGGCCGTGCTTTGTACGAATCGATGCGCCACCCACGCCGCAGAGCATATCCCCCTCTGTTACCGCTCATTAAGGAGACCGACTCGAATTCGCAAAGTTCCGTGGAACAAGGGGGGGGGGAGAACGGCGATATTCCGCGCGCCATATTTCAGAAGAAACGTTCGGTTATTGTTCCATCCAACTTCTCGACTGCGATAAATCCCCGGACGTTGGGCTTCCCCGGTGCCCCGAGCGTTTTTTCGTCGCGACGTCGCTCTCGACTCTGGACAAAGATTTCATGGAGATCCTGAGGGCACGGTTAGTCTCGGTATCGTTTAAATTTCCCGCCACGTGTATTCCCTAAATTACACGCGGTTCTCGTTACGCGGGACGTTTGTACAAGAGAGTATCACCAGTTGGTGCTTACGGTTGTAACGTGATTATTATAATTTCGGATACGGACCATCTAGAATTGATCAAACGTCTATGAATAGATTTTTAACCTCGAAGCCGGTTGAAGGATTCAAGTGCAACAAATTTTGTCATATTCTGCCTCAGCTGGTTACAAAATATAATCCCGCATAAAGTACGAACAATTCATCTAAGGGTATTTATTGTTATTTTTTATTGGTATTTTTTGTTCAAACATCTCCTTTGACGCAACTAATAACACTGCGATATGACACCATGATATTGAAATTTCAAAAGAAAAATTTATTTGGAAATTAAATTAAATTGATCGCGATTATTTTATTATTTCGTTCAAAATTTGTACTATGCTCGAATAAAAATCTGTGGAAAAGGAAACGTACTGCCGATACTGCAATAACAGAAATTATATTTCTACATGATAACTCCTGGCAAACAGCGAACCTCAAAGGCGATAGAAATAAATTATTCAAGAAAAATAAGAAAGAAGCATAATATACAAGACTAATAATAGACAAGATAAGCTTGACTCACTTTCTGTGCTTTCTCCTTATTTTTCTCGAATAATTTATTCACACTATCCAAACTCCCCAAGGTATCCTTTACACTTTTCAATCATTTATTCTCACGTGCATTCGCGCGTATAGTTTCCGATACTATGTTGCGCCAAAGGGCGTTCTTGCCCGTAAAATATATAAATAATAGTAATAATAATAAATATTTTGAGACTGGTCTGTACCGAAATTGGTATCCTGGGCTCGAAGGGGTTAATAAATCGCCGGTTCACTTGAAAGATTTTCACGAAAACCCGCGGGGCACGGGCTCGAGTTTGGATGTAGGGGAAATATGAGAGGGGGTGAAAAAGAAGAAAGGGCAGGGAGAAAAATTGGGAAAGGGATTCGATGCTCACCTTCACCGTCAAGTTTCCGATGGGGAAAGTCTTGACGACCGGGGTCTCGTTCGGGGCGTAACGATAAAACTCTCGACCCCCTTTGTACCACTTGACGGCGTATAAAGGGTCCCCCTCGGTGTCATACCAGCAGTTCAGTATCGCCGATTCACCTTTCTTCACGGCCGTCGGTATCTGGATGCGCACTTCTCGCAAACCGGAGCAAATTCCTGCAACAGACAGGGTGTTTCTGTTTAACGTCCGAGCCTATTTGATCGTTCTGTCGTTTCCACGCTTGATGCATTTTTCTCGAATTCAAGGAATTCCTAACAATCTCGCTATCCTTTTATTTTTACACATAAATGTGTTTCTAGGAGCCTTCGTTGGCCGTAACAGCCACTTCTTAACATTTATTTGAATAAATCGGTACACTTGTCATTTCTGTTGCGGTCTAACCAGTTAGATTTTCAAATTGCCTATCGCAGAATATTTCATTCTATAGAATTAAATGTTATATTTATTCTAAATATTTATTTATATTTAGCTTGTAATGGATAAACAGTTTTTCATCTTGTATTCGATGTTTAAAATTCATATTCCACACAAGAGTTTTGCTCGTTTCCGGTATTAACTCGATGCATACGTGTAAAATATTACAGAGAAAGAAAGATCAGCCCTGGATTTAAGGAAAATGTGGTACAAAGCGTAAGTAGAATGTGGACAGTGTCGAGTAATATTTCCCTTCTCGCAGGCTTTACGAAGTCTGACTAAAACGTCTGACCCAGTACGACTCGCAGTTCCTTCCAGAACTAATCTTCCTTTCTCTCCTATACTTGCGCATCATACGGATGAGTTCGAAATCTGCAGCGTAGGTAATATTACTTGGTATCATTCAAATGAGTTCGAAATCTAGTGTAGGTAATATTACTCGGACGAGCTCGAAATGTACAAATATAACTGCAACTATATTTGCAGCATTTTGTTATCCATAGAATATCTAGAAACTAATTTTGAAATCGTAATAAAAGCGCGCCAGATATTGAATTGAAACCAGAGATTGGCCAAATTTTTTATTGGAGAAAGAAAATGTCAAACGAATGAAAGGCTGTTTTATCATTATTTGTTAAACGAAATTTAAAATTTTTATTACACAATGCATTTCGCAATGACTACAGAAGAATGCATGATGAAAACATTGATTGAATAACTCGAATTGAATGCAAGAACACACGTATAATATATAAAACATAATAACAAAAGAATCTATTAAAAGTTAATCATACTTCAAACATAGTGTTACAGTAAAAAATATACTGCAATAAACGCAAAATTGTGCTAACACACCGAATCATAAATTGCATACATAGATTAAGGTTAATCACAGGTTAGGTTAATGATAGCATGCACCTGCGCCTCGCCTTTTCACTGTGACTATGTATTTATCTCTGCATCTACATACGATATTTTATTCAATTCGTCGATTCATATTTTACACAACTCTGGCGCAATGAAGACGTATTATTATTACAGTAGCTGCAATGGAAGTAGAAACACGATGAACCTCTACATACGAAATGGTAGGTTAAGTGAACAGGCAAGCGTTGCAATTCTAGCTCTAATTTTGTTCGATCCACTTTTGATTTTACTTACATCAATAGAGATTCTTTTTCAGCCGTTCCATTACGTAATAAATAATTGAAATGCTATGGTTTTTCAGAACGATGCTAATTAAGATACAATCTTTCTATTATTTTATTGCTCTTTTTTTTCTAATTAATTTACTTTGTGTGTTCTTCTTGAACTCTGATTATAACTAAAAAGATCATAAAATCCCAAAGGGACAGGACCGCAAATTATAATCCTTTTTGTTCCCATCGTTTTACTTAAAATTGTATTACCAGCTTGTTCGTGTTATTAATTTTGTTAGAGAACTAATATTAGTTTATTTTTATTCCCATAGACTTTGAAGATGACCCTGTACATATACCTCGAACGTTAATTAAATTGCTTGCAATAAAGGCTGAAGTGGCTCACCCTCGTTCACTTAAAATCGAATGTAGAAAATGTCTAATGCAAAAAAATAAATGTTAGGAATCTATCTTCACAACCAACGAAAATTTGTTAATCTCATGTTCCCAAAAAAAAAAAGAAGGAAGTTTACTCCAGAAAATTATCACTTTGATGTAATAAGCAAATAAACAAGGAGATCGTTTAGTTCAAAGTGCATCGCGTTTCGTCTATTTCAATTGATTGAAGTAAAGATTACATGGTTACCGCTTTTTAACGGATTAGGAAATGGTGTGCGAAGCTAGGTACGAGAATTCATTCTCAGCAAACTCGCAATCGACCCTCCGACTCTCCAACAATTCTTCAACAGACTGACCAACTCCTGAATCGCGCAGCGGCTCTTCAACTGCCGCACACATTGCGCACTTACTGCAATGGATCCGTATGCCCAAAGCTCCGGCGTACATTTTTAGAGTCTCTCCAGACACACTTCAACCCCGAACCTTCAAACCCAAGCATCCACTGGATCTCTACCGCACTTGTCCAATACACTCGTCGTTCACACCTGACGTCCGTAGAGATTCGTTTCCCTCCCACAATATTGAAAAGTACAACCATGTAATAATAATAATGGACTCCTCGACAACTTTCGCCGCCTTAGCGCCGCCTACCCCTGTTTCCCTTGAATGCCACGCAACTGCCAGCAATCGTTGCCAACATTTCATCGAACCTTACCAAATAAATTGAGTCGTATGGAAGTAGCACAGGAATATCTTAGAGACTGAAGATAAAATTTATTTTGTGCCTGGTAAGAGTTTGAAATAAAAGAAAACGTTGGTCTTGAGAGCAATAAGAAGTTCATTTATTAGCGTCAAGTGGTCAGTTGTTTCATTTATGAATTGAACATTTTTGTTATTATATTACTTTACGTGCTAATTTAAAATAGTTCTATTATTTTAAAAATGGCTAGAATCAATACCGCACTAAATGAATATTTAATTTAGGTTACATGATCGAATCTAACGTTTTAACTCGAGAAAACGTCGCCATTCTTTGTGCCAATCGATTATTAAACTGTTCATTGCCCCGAGTGCCGCCGTTTTCTTTCGTTTAAAACGAATGAATTATTCGTCGATTGTCTATTTTCATTCGACGTCTTTAAGAGTCTTTACTCTTACCGCCCTGGTTTAATTTTTCAAAGTGTGATGAATTTTTAAACGAGTTATTAATACAAGTTGCGGAAGGGTGTCCCTCTATTTATAGTTCGTTCGTGAACCACGGATAACGGATTCTGAATCAACAGTTAAATCTTGGGAAATACCGACTTCCTTTCGACTATGTGCTTTTATTTACTCGGGAAAAGAACATCCCCAACGATATTCTCGAGCGTTCGTTACTTCGGAGGAAGGACTTAAAAATATGCAAATCAGCAGCTCGGGAAGACCAGAAAAGTAGAATGGTGGACGAAGAGGGCGGTTATACTGTTGTTGCAATTTTTGTTTCGAGTAAATAGACTAGACTACCGCTGGCAGTCGAAGAAGTGCTTTAACTTTCTTATTGGTTAAACGATTCGATCTGATAGATTGAACTCTTTAGCGACAATTTATTAGGCTTCAGCCTGGGTATTTGTACGAAAATGTCACACCAGAGGGATCACATCCCCGAACGGTTTCTCAGAAAGTTATTGAACGTTTTAAACTTTTATATAACCGTTCGACCACTCGAAACCTAAACTATGTGCGAGACCTAATTCCATCGCTTACCAAAGAATAAACGAAACCCTTCCTCGCTCTAAAAAATAAAACCTCGGTTATTTAACGCGTCCCCGTTCCCCCGCTTCGCACGATCAAGGTTTCATAGTGGCTTGAACAGCAATTTTTCCTGGACGCACTCCGCGTTTCGCTAAAAATCGGCTAGTAAACATGTCGCGGCGGAAAAAGCCCGACACTGGATTCTTTACGAGTTCCAAAGAGGAAATAACGCGGCCGTCGCGCTAGGAAAAATTTGCGTGCGGTTTTCGTTGGCCAGTCGCAGTAATTTCGCGCGCATATTTCAACGGGCGGTTACGCTAAATAGAACGTGGTTGAAGCTTGAGCCTCGAAGACGCCAAGAGAGGCGAGAGAGAGAGAGAGAGAGAGAGAGAGAGAGAGAGAGAGAGAGAGAGCCCCAACACGGGGATTAACGAAATTCGAAATTTAATCAACCGTTTCTGGGCGCCCACCGCGGCGCCATGTTCGCCAACTGGGATTTATTTAAGAGCAACAACAGATGGGTATCGCATGAACTACGGGTAAAGTGAATCTGGTTGACCTAGAACGACGGAACTTAATATCGTAAAGGCTAGTTAGGTAAAACGTGTTCTAACGATACCTCGCTCGTAGGAGATGCAACTAAATTGCCGTGTATACAAATAACGATGAATACAAATCTGTTCAGAGCGTGTTCTGAATGCGTGCTCGTTGATGACTGAGTGCTCTATCTGACTGCGTTCTCGAATGACTAACCGTCGCGACGGTTAAACGTGGTCTCAACCGGAGGCCTTTGAACGTGCTTCTAATGACAACTTCGGTTCTGAATGACAACCAATTGCGACCAGCACTTTTACGTAAAAGGAAGGCGTACCTTGACAATTTACTGGAACGCACATTACTCTTTATAGGTTGCGTTATACATAGACTAATCGTCTGTCTGGTTCTTCGTTCAAAGGTTTGCTTGGTAGTTCGAAGTGAATAGAAAGGTCCTCCAAGCGGAAAGTTCATCGTTTCTCTTTCAAAAATCCATTTTTCGCATGGTCAACTATGTATATGTTGACACCAAATCGAAAAACAAAAATATATAGTTTATCAACTCGCCTTACGCTAAATGTTAGCACAAGTTTAAATTATTTTAAGATCAAAATCAAAATTCAACTCGCTCTTAGCACGGACGAAACCGTGCCAGGATCTGCTAGTTATTTATAAAATCGTCCTTGGCATTAGAACGATAGTTACATAACTAAGACGTCCGTTATTTCTCAAATAAATATGGATGTTGCTTCATTGACCAGAACTATCCATCATAAGTTTCGAGACCATCTGTTACATCTTTGTCACTGAAAAACAATTCATTTCGTGGAAAGCTTAAGTATTCCAAAGAGAGATGACGGCATTGTTCTTCATTTGAAGAAAGGCAACATTGCTCTTTTACGCGGCTACGATTTATTCCATCTTTCATTGTAATGGTACCTCAGCTCCATTCTCGACGTGGAACGACCATTAACTTTTACAACTGTCTACGATACTCCGTGCCAAATACTTATGTTGCTGCGGCATCTAAGTGCGACGGCTCAATGCGATCTTACAGAGGACGTTGAACGCATCCTTACTGGCAGTCTCGCATAAAACAAAGACGAATGGTGGTGCATTTGGCGTTGCAATTGATTGGATTGCAAGCTACCCATCATGAATTTCAGACAACTTCTTGGGTCCGCGTTCGTAAACTTGGAAACAGACCGGATGACATAATAAAATGTGACAAGTTGATTTGAAGGGTTTATTTAAATTTTCACCACTCTGTAGGCTCCTTCCGAAGTGCATACACTTAACTTATTCGGAAAATGACTACGAGTTAACCAGGCATAAAAGCATAAATCATAAAAGTACTTTCATCTGTACAGTGGATGTCTATTTTATTTAAAAGCGAATCATGCATCGACTGTTGAATTCGTAAACGGTTAGTTTCACGGAAAGCTTCAATGTCCCCCTCCGCGAAGAAGAATGGACGCGTTACTCTTTATTCAAGAAAACGGGCACTGGTCCTTTATTCGCGCGGCCACGATTTCTTATTTCTGTCATTGTAACAGCACCTCAGCCTTATTCTCGTCCTGTGCAACGACCATTAGCTTTTACAACTGTCCACATTACTCTATGCCAAATACTTATGCCGCAGCCGGCAACTACTTACGGCTGGATGCAGCCAAATGGTAATTACAGTTACTTGTTTGCCGTATTCTAAACTGTAACGGTTGAAGAAGACGGTCTCGACCCTTATAGCCTGTAGTTGATGCGCTGCGGTGGATGTGCCTGGCGTTGCACGCTTTTGCGCTGAAAGCTTTAATTTTCCTTTCCGACAATGCTCCCGGGGGATTCTTTGCGAATCAGCGCGCGGTGAGTGGGGAATTAGTGCTTCTTAATCACGCCAACGGCACGAGAATACTAGTTTATACCGGGTGAAACGCAAGAGCGTGGGATCAGTTTACCTGATCTGGGGTAAGAAATAAATAAAAAGAAATGAAAAGATGTCCAACTAATGGGACTGTGTGTTCGTTAAAGTGAACGGAGAAATGTTAACGATTATAGGTCAAACGAACGTTCGTTTTCCAGTTGTATTCGAATGTTAATTGCGTTTACGCATGGTGATTTTCTAGCGCTGCCCATTTGCCTCTCCATGCACGAAATGCATGTTGATCATTTCCGCTAAGCACCGTACATAATCTCTGTAATATTCGTTGAAGCATTCGCGTAGTTGTGACCGTTTGGATTATTGATAATTGGAGAGCGTGAACGTAAGAATGTACGTTTGCTGTTACGTTTGCGTTAACGTGGACGGAGGCAATATTTACGAAAAAAGAAGGGGGACAGAAAGTTGTTCTCTTTCCTCTCTAATACCATTTTAAAGCAAAAATTTTTAATTGAGAAAGTAATTGGAAAAAGAGCTTAAATTAATGTTCGAAATGCTTTTAAACGAATATAAGCTATGCTCATTTATGTCTGTTTATTCATTCGAATATATCAAAAATATTTATCGATGCGCTTAAATACAGGACAAATATTTATCGATGTATTTAAACACGTTGACAGTATTTAATAATACATTTAAATGCATTAAAATTAAAAGCATTCGTTAATATATTGAAATAAGTTAAACGTATACACTTGGATCAAATATTTATTTCGCCCAAAGCTCCCCGAAGTCTGAAGCCAGTGTCAACCAAAAAACTGTTTCCCAAAGCTTGTGCTGCCTCATCGTGCTCCCATCCTAAAACCCTTAAACCCCAACGTAGCATCCCAGTTTCAGGTCAGTCTGACAAGAAACATCGACGAAGTGTCCACCGTCAATTTTGATGAAAGTTTGGGTACTAGCGGGAAGCGGCCAAAAACGAAGAACAAGTATTTTTTAGCCACTGTAGCTAAAGTTCAAGGAACGAAATTACCCTCGAGAAGTTTCACCCTTCCGATGCTATCTCGAACATCGCTGAATATATTTACAAAAAGGTCCTCGAGATAAACTAGGTTTGAGATGCGTTACTCGACGTTAATTAGTCGCCAATTTGCGGGAGTCGATGAAACTTTATACTTAACCTTTATATACTTGGGCCATGGCGATTGTGAACAGCTTACACCGTTCCTCCTGTAAAAAATATCATTGATACGCTAAAATATACAAAGGATTTTTTTCAACAATTTTTTATCACGACACGCGACGCGTTATTTTCTGGAAAAAGGCCATAAAACATTCGCTCGAAGAGCTACTTTATATCGCTGTACAGTTTCCATGATAGCATCGGACGGGTGGAACTTGCGGAATAA